TATCGGGGCGGGGAGGCTAGTCACGCAGGGGGCTGCCGCCGCCGCGACCCTCCTGCTAACGCGGGGCTTTCTTCACGCAGAAGATGCTGGTGTACTTCTGGGGGTTCCTGTACAGCAACTACTTTCGGTTTTGGCTGAAGTGGATCTTGAGGCTGCTGACTCGGAAATGCGAGTTACAGCGTGTCTTCGATGGCTCGAAGGCAGGCGCGCAGCGGACGCTGAGCATAGGTAATGAAGGACGCTAAACCAGGGGACTGGTTCAGGTCTTGAGAAACGTCGGGACAAGCAATCGCTGGAAACCGGTTCCTGTCCCGAGTGCAGTGTGCGTCCCCTGGATCGTGTTTTCACTGCTCCCTTCTTCCTGGCTGTTCTGTGAGAACGTTAAATCAGAATGCCAGGTCTGGTTTCCTTGCCTGCCTGCTCAGGTAATTCCAGTGAGCTTCAAAAAGCGGATCAGAAATCTTACGTTTTTACCCAGAGTCTTCCCGTCGCTTTGTGTATGCTTTTACCTTCCCGTTATTAAAAAACCCCCACAGAACAGACATGAATGCATTTGGGGGGGGGAGGGAGGGAGAGTGGTTACATGCACAATTCTGCTTGATGCAGAATTTTGATCTAAAATAGTAACTTAAGAAACTACTTACAGTTTTTGCCATTTTAACAATAGCTTGAGGAAGTGACTTCCTTATTCTTCAGTAATAAACACAAAAACATTTCTAAGAATGGAAAAATATCAAGAGACTTTTTTTTGTCTTGACGCCTTTTCAAATTTGGGGAGGGAGGGAGAGTGGTTACATGCACAATTCTGCTTGATGCAGAATTTTGATCTAAAATAGTAACTTAAGAAACCTACTTACAGTTTTGCCATTTTAACAATAGCTTGAGGAAGTGACTTCCTTATTCTTCAGTAATAAACACAAAAACATTTCTAAGAATGGAAAAATATCAAGAGACGTATTTTTGTCTTGACGCCTTTTCAAATTTGTCTTTGTTTTTGTGTGTGCAGTTGATTGATGTTTTAAAAAATCCGAGTCTACTTTCAGCATTGTACTCGGGGATTATAAAAAAATCTATGTAAATTAAGAGTTTCAGTTACCTGATACCTGTTGATTTTAAGATTGAGTGATTTTTTTGTTAATTACATGTGTAAAAGGGATGCAAAATTTTATAATACTTACATGCCACAGAACACCTATTGTCAATTATTTAAAACAATTCAGTTCAATTTAACTGACACATTTACTTTTTTTGTATTGCAGAACATTCACTGGAATCATCAAAGAATAAGGTAAAAGATACTGGAGATTATACTGCATTAAAACCTTCTCTCAGAGACAGATCCCAGAAAAGAACATGTGCATTTACTTTTTGAGGGTGGAGGAACGTACAGGAATAAAGGGCAGAGAGGAGAGAACAGCATTTTGGGTTCTGTATGCTAGGGTTAGTCGAGCTTTCTCAAAAATAACTGTGTGTTTCCATCTCTGAAAGATAACCTGCTCTTTAGCAGCAGGTCAGACAAGTCGTTATACAGAGCTGCTGTTCTTGGAGAGGGTCAGTTCTCCCTGTCACAACAATCTCTTTTGCTGCTTTTGTGGAAACCAGAAGTGTGATATAGATGAATGATATGGATAAAGCACTTCGATGCAGTGTATACAATAGCGTCTTGAATTGTTGAAAAAAAAGCCCACAATGCAAGTTTGCAGGTAGACGTTTAACTGACAAGCTCGTTCCAATTGTTCTGTAGCAGTTAGACGTAAGCTAACACTTTAAACCCTCAGATTTGTACACCTTGAACAAAACTTTTCCGCTTTAGACAGTGAGGTGACTGCATTCTCCCTTTTTCTAGCTGATCGCTGCAATGTGATGTTGAGAGAGAATTAGTAACTGCCACAAGCATCTTTGTTGCAGTAGAGCACAGTATGGGTGGGTCTTTTAGCATCTCTCAATTAAATGATTATATCAAATGTATTAATGTTCAGTTTTAAAAGAGTTAACTTTTTACTTTACTGAAATGAAGCTGCTTTGGTGTTAGCATGGATTGCATTAAAGAATGCATTGTGACCGTAAAAAGTTTAGAAGACAAAGTTAAACTGTTGTGAAGTGATTTTAGGTGGGCGGTGTATAATTATCATTACTAGTATTTGCCCTTTACTCTAGAAGACTGCAGAATAGCAGTATCTTACATCAAGTTCTTTTGTTTCACCCCAGCATTGAAACCTCAACTTCATTAGTTCACTGTCTTCTAATTCTGAAGCATTATTTCCTTACTGAAGTTTTACCACTTTTGCTCCTCGATAGCTGCGTTTGTTTCAATTGAAAAGCATTTGAAAAATTTGAAATTCGAAAAGTTTGACATTTGAAGGCAAACGAGAACCTAGACTAAGCAACTCTCAAGCTTTTTATTTATTCTTTATGGGACTCCTGTGTAAACATTGTTTACAGTCTGACAAAGTTACAGATTATGCTTTTATGTAATTATTGCAGATCTTTTATGTGCGATTTGAGCCCACTTATTGTAAACATTTGCAATAAATTGACTGTTGTCCTTTTATAGTAAAGAATACGTACATGGCAGGTATACAGAAGCTGAGAAATAAGAATAAAGTAGATGATCGATTTCTGCATTCCTCATGAAGTCTTTTACCGTGTTAACTTCCTAGGTTTTAAGAAATGCTGTACACGTTGAGGAAGCTGAAATGGAGAAGTGTGTCAGAGATGTAATGAAAGAAAAGAAAATTGAGCAGAAGGATACAGGGTACGTTTGGAACCCGAACATAAGTTCTTCAGTGGCAGATAATTCTGTCTTCTTGGCGCATTCTTGCAGTTGCTTAATCTGATAGAATATTTAGGCCATTCAGCACAAATCTTTAGAATGAAATTAGAAAATAAGGTAATGGTTACGTCTTCTTCAGTTCTAGAAAATAAATTGCAAAGTTTTAATTGACATGGATTTGGGATAACTGCATCTCTATCTTGCAAGTCCCTTCTGTTACTCCTTATTTCTAAGTAATATGATTATAGCATAGGTTGATTACATGAACTATGTAATTGCTTAGATGTATTTGAGAGAGTATAGTGATGCCTGATTAATGTTTGCATTCGTCTGCATAAGTAATTATGAGCGATTGAGAGGGAAAAATGTGAATAATCAAAATTTTAAGGTTTAATGAAATGCTTCTTTGAAGCTATAAGCATTTCTGGCAAAGTTTCACTTTAAGACTTACAAAAAGTTTGGGGGTAGGTGAAGGTACAGGGGTCAGGACAATATATGGAGTTTTCTTGTTTCATCACAGATTTCAGCTAAGTTATTTTTTTCTTCCATAATTTAAGTGAATAGGGCCTGACTGTGCAGCACTGGAATCGGCTAGAGGTTTTTTTAAGTAGAAATAAGATCCATATAGCAGTATACTTAACTAATATGCTGTAGTTTGAAAGATAAACATAAAGCACTTCCTAATTCTAGTGTTTACATTGCATTAACATAAGAAAGGTCTTATCTGGTAGTTGAAGCAAGAATTTATGGCTAACTACGCTTCTTTAATAGCTTCTCTGTGGTGTTTTGTTATTATTTCAGGTTTAAGACAAATCTGCATATATCCTTACTGCAGATATCAGGTTATAAAAAACTTTATCTGAATGTGGAAAATCTGAGGAAGGTCCCGTATGATTCGGATAACGAAGAACACGAGGAACAGTTAATTGAGGTGAAAATAATCTTTTAAATACAAGAGCTGTTTGTTTGTTTTTTCCTTCCAAGTACAACAGCTTGAGTGAACTTAATTTATTGGTAGTATTCTTACCAGCTAGCCTATTTAAAGTTCTTTTCTACTTGTGAACTGCTAAGCCATTATAGAAGTGACGCATTAAAATACAAAATCAAAGCAAAACAAATTAGTAAACTAGAGTTACTTGCACTGGGATTATTTTGTGTGAAATCAGACATAGCAACAACACATAAGTAGCAAAGTAATTTTGTAAGGGGTGACTGAAGGATCATAACTAAAGAGATATTTAACCTTATGCACATGTCTAACTTTGTAAACCGATAATTACTAAATAAAAAAGACACTAGTGTTTTCTTATTACTGCATCCCAGTCAATGTCAAAGAGGATAGTTTAATGCTGGAAGATAAAACCTATCAGTAATGTATTTTAGGTAACAATAAATAATAGCAAGCAAATAATATAATACTGCTTGAGGCTTTTTTAAATAGCTTCTACTGTGCAAATATATTAGCATGTCATTTTCTTGGCATTTCATAATTATCTCAACTTGCTATGCAAGTCCCAACATTGACATGTTAAATAAGCATTCATTGAGAATTTGTATTTCAGTTTATAGCTGTCCTGTCAGAAAATGATGCATAAATTAATTTCTGAAGTGAAACAAGTCTTTGTTTCTTTAGTATTGATACAGTAGCTTTGTCCGTGAAGGGAAGTTATTGCATTTAATGTTAAATGGAATCGTTTCGTAATTGCTGAAATAAGCCATTGTAGTATGACTCCAGATTGCCACTAACAGAAAAGAACAGCATGCAGATTGTATCCTGTTCCTTGGTGAATGGTTTCTAATGTCCAGCAGCAAGTGTTCTGAATTATGTGACCTGGAATACTTTAGCAGCTGTGCATAACATGGAAGCATATTTGTGCAGCTTTGGAATTTGCTGATGCCTCATGAGAATCTGAAGGCCAGAATCACCAAGCAGTGGTGTGACATTGGCTTCCAAGGTGATGATCCCAAAACAGACTTCAGAGGAATGGGCCTGCTGGGGTTAGTGAATCTGGTGTAAGTGAAAAGAAGTATTTAATTTCTGTTGTAACTCATTTTCAATACCTATGTATTTTCTCTAGTTAGTGCTATTTCTGATAAAGGCTGAATAGAAGTGAATAGAAATAGTGGCTTCTGTACAGTGAAAAACAGTATTATCTAAATAAGTCAACATTTCTAGTGGCTGCACATCTGTAAATGTGTGGTTGGGTGGAGGCCAACAAGCGAGGGGAGGAACAGAAAGTTGCCCAAGACACCTTATTTTTTTGTTGTCATATGATAGATTTGATAGGTTATAACTTAGAAAGTTATAACTTGTCAAAAGCTTTTAAAATTCCTGAATTAATTACTGTAATGAAAAATAAACAGGTTTGCATAACTTTGCTAACCTAATTTGTGGACTTGGGTGAACTTCATATTTGATGTTCAGATGCTGAATCTAATTTAATTTGCTACATTTCCTTGGTTTTCATGTGTGCCATTTTTCAGTACAGAGTAGTACTCAGCTTTAGTTTAAAGCTACACATTTTGATGTTGAACATATTAATTTTTTTTTTTATATGAACTTTAAAATAATGGAAGATCCTATTTCACACTGACAGGTATTTTAGTAAGCATTACACCGACGAAGCTCGTCAGATCCTTTCTCATTCTAATCACCCAAAGCTGGGGTAAGTCACTATATGACTTTTTCTGGCTTGTTCTGTATAAGAGCTCATGTGAAGACTACCAAGTATGTGTCCTGAAAATAAAGAGGAAAATATTTGTGGTTTTTTCCGTTAAAGGATGAAAAAAGGGCCAAAGTAGAAAGGCGTGAGAAACCGAACACAGAAAGAAATCAATTTCAGGCTGGGAACTATGTGCAGCTTCTTTTTTTTTTTTTTTCCAGAATAGACTTGTTGGGACAAAAACGTTGCAAAATACTGGCTTTGGTTAACACAGTGAACACCTTTAACATCATGGTTAGCTTTACTTGTAATAGGCTTAGATTAGACTTAGAAATGAATACTTATTTCTTGCCTTCTTACTGGTCCTGTGTTGGGAGGGTATAGGTTATCTCTTAAGGGCCCTTTTTTTGCTTGGTTTCTGTTCTGTGATAAGTATATAAAAATAAATGTTTTGTTGCTGTTCAACTTCATTTTTGAAAACTTTGCATGTTAAAACATTTAGCTCATTTTACAGGGAAATACGCTCTAAAATCAGTCAGATACAGAGGAAAGCTGGTAAACCTGTGTATATCATCTGATCCATCTAGTCCCCGGTTAACTCAGTCACCTCCCAAGAATGGGAGGCTTTCACAACTTCGATTGTAAATGATATTACCTTGTGCAACTAGGTCGTGAATAGGGTATCCGAGACATTTAGATCAATTAAATACCCATATCATTGACACAAATTAATCCTTTTTTTTTTTCCCTTCCCCCATAAACACTTGTTTTAACAGTCCTTTAAGAATTTCTATTGTGGTGCTTTCTATACCGTGCAACAGAAAAACAGATTTTTTTCATCTTGAAGAACAGGTTGAGATGGCCATTCCATTTATACTGTAACAATGTTTTTGATATCCGATTTTTAATATTCTAGCAGATCTAATGATTTCAAATGAGCAAATTGAGGTCAGTGTTGATTAGCCTTACCATCTCGTTATTGCGTAATGGAGGCATTTGCCATACTACTGTACAGGAAACTAGCTTTTTTAAATAACTTACATGGTTGGATGCACCAGGGAATGGAAGGAGCGGTCTGTAGGCCGGAGTCAGCTTGTCAGCAAGTATCATAGGAAAAATTGACTCTTACAGTTATCCTAATGCAGACTGTTTCAGGGAAGCTTTTAAGCCCTTCAATCCGTAAGGCGAAACATGACCTGTGATTGGTGTTGCAGATATTCTTATGCAATAGTTGGAATCAATCTGACAGAAATGGCATACAGCTTACTTAAGAACGGTGCTTTAAAGTCTCATCTGTACAACGTAGTCTCTGGATTGCCACAGATGGAGCACTTCCATCAGTTTTACTGTAAGTATCTGTAGCTTCTTTAGCACAGGCTACCGGGGGGAGGCCTACAATGTAGAGTTTAGGTTTTTTGGAGTGCGTTTCCACTCTTTTCTCATGAGCCAGAGCAAGCTGTTTATCTTCTGGATCGGGTATTGGAAATGCACCTGATGCTTAAACATTGTGATACAGAAATGTACATTCAAGGGATAAATTTGGGTGGCTCTCTATATATTAGAGACTGCAGTCTGAAAACTCAGTATCTGCAGATTTATTTTTTTATTCATTATTACAGTGTCCGAAAGCTTGCTGTTGACCAGGATGGGACACTCCCTATTTTAAGGGATTGAACAGAGTCTAAAGGATTGTTCTAGGTTTAGCTAGATCAAGGCAGAAAATTGTGGAGGTCATTTTTGCAGATCTGTATTTTATTTTCTTCACAGGTTATCTGGTTTATGAGTTTGACAAGTTCTGGTTTGAAGAAGAACCAGAAAGCATTATGCACTTCAACCAGTACAGAGAGAAATTCCATGAAAAAATTAAGGGACTTCTAATGGATTGTGATGTGATACTAACCTTACAAAATACAAAGAAACCTTAACTCCTCTGCAGTCTATGAGGTTCTGCATCAAAAATGGAATTATGCATTTGGATGGAAATTTTGCATGTTTCAGCAAAAACTGTTTAACAATAGAACTATTTTTTTTTACATTTAAAAAAAAAATCAAAATTCAGTTAAGAAAGCTTGGACAATCAACCTCTGTTTACAGGTCTTTATATGCTATTCTCCAAAGGACAGCTTTTTAAAAAAAAAAACAAAACAAAAAACAACCAACAAACCAACACAAAAACCAACCCACAAATCTCAAGAGCCTCTGGACCACTTGCTTTCACAATTTCTTTTATACTCCTTGGTGCAGGAACATGAAGCAGGTATTTATGCCGCATCATGTTTTCTGTGAATAGGTTTGACTGTTAATTGTCTTTTAAAAACTTCTTTTAGTTGAAATTACTCTGGTTTTAGACTTTTTATGTTCTTGTTCTATACATGTAGTCGATTGTTCACTCATCAATGTTAAATTTCTCTGTAGTGAAGAGGTCCACGAAGGGGATGTATTAGTCGCTTATGATTTTGGAGAGGAGGCTTAATCCATCAATATACTGACGAACTTACTAGAAACTGCTTCTGGCTGAGGAAGTTTTTTTTATCTATGGATTTGTACCAGCAAATTCCTGTGCTTGGAAAAAGCTTAGTTTGCAAACGAACAAAAAGAACCACAAATCATCAGTGTGAGGATCAGATCCTCAGACTAAAGTTACTCCTTCTAAAAAATACTCCTACTGTAAAAATTTTCAATTCTTTCTAATTTGACTTCAGCTGCTCAGGGTGCTCAACTTTGTATCTGTTGTCAGCCCTTTCTTTTAGCAGCTAACGGGGTATGCTCAGCGGGAAGTACAAGAGAGTTAGTTTAGCCCTTTTATAAAGTTCACTCATTAAAAACCTTTATTGCAGCTGCAGTCCCTATTTTGTGAAAATAGATTCACACCTGAGTACAAGTCTCTAACAAAGATGTATTTTCCATGGAAGGGATGCAACTGCGATATGTTCCTTAACCTTGGCATCTTCAGACAATCTAGTCAATAGGACTTTATATCTATATTGTGACTAATTACTGCTTAAAGCAACTTTAAACAGATTTGGTATGACCATCACTTCGTTTTCTAAAATCTGCTATTAAATAAGTGCCTTCTGCTTTACTCAATCAGTGTTTTATTTTGATTCTGTAACCAGATCATAGCCTTAGAAGCTCGAGTTATTTGGGAAAGACTCTTTCAGTATATACCTAAATAGCACACAGTGGCACAAAATTTGTATGCTAATAGAAGCTTTCATGCTTTTTTTTTTTTTCTTTTTTAAAATCATCTCAGGTAAATTGGTTAACTCCTAGTCAATGACTAATCATGAAGAGATTCCTGAAGAATACAAATATTGAACACGAGAAGAAAAAAAAGACAAACCCCTTTTTGTAATGAGTGATGTTACGCTACATAAGTATTAAATGTATTATTATAATATGTAGTGCTACATCTCCTTGGAGATAATCAAAACCCAACTGGATGTGGTCCTAAGCAGCCTGCTTTAGGTCACCCTGCTTTGGGCAGGGGGTTGGACTAGGTGATCTCCAGAGGTGCCTTCCCACCTCAGTAATTCTGTGAGTCCGTATCGTGTAACTAGTGACTTCTTGCACTGCATCCACCCAATTGCTCTTGATCCCTGAAATGTTGGTGATCTCTTATTTGTGGGAAAGCTCCTGATCAGGGTAGGCAGTATATATGTAGGAGGTAACGCAGCTCTGTTTTCTTTTTGTGATACCTTAGGTATAGACGAGAGTTAAACAATTCTTAAGTTTAACATGTGCAAGGTGGAGAAGGGTTCATCTCATCTGTGTTGGGTTGATGCTATTCTACTAAAAAAAGAAAAGGTAACGTGAAGATGCTCGTAGGGAGAGTAGTTACGGTTATGCCATGGCTTGTAAACTGAACAGCTGAACTGACTAGATTAGATACGAAGCTGACCACAGGAAGCCTAGTTCTTTTGCTACTCCCAGGTACTTGGGTCCTGTAATTCTCACCACTGAAAAAAGCTGAGGTCCTGTGGAGAGTGTTCTGGGATTCAGGTCCTGCGGTGGAGCTCTGTGTCTCTGAGCCTTGTAGATACGGGACATTCCTAAAATCTGAGGAAGGAAGTGTAAAGCAGACTCTTTCCCAGTGGCTGAGAGGTTAGTTGTCTGTTACTCTCTAGCCCCAGCTTCTGTCATGTTTGTCTACCTTCAGTAATAATTTTTGCTATTGCTTGTAGATCTCCTTTGCAAGCAACGCGAGACTGACTTTTTGAATTTCAGAAGTGACCCCAATATGTTTAGCAGCAGTGGGAAAGGAGATCCCATTCTTTATTTTCATCCACTGCTTGCTAGCAAGTAACAAAACTGCTTGAGCCATCTCTCTAAAACGCTCCCCTGTGCTAGTCTGCAGCTTTTTTTTTTTTTTTGGCAACAGTTGCAAAAATAATCTACACCCTCCTCTTTCCAGCCTTGAGCATCAAGTTTCAGATTTCCTATCACAACACCTAAGACACTTTAGTGTAGCATGTAGATTGAGCCCGGTGGGAGATGCATCTTCATTAGCTATTTCTTTTTTTAAATCAAAGTGTGAGCTGGGAGTAAACTGTGGCAGCGTAAAAGGAAAAAAAGTAAACCCCAACCATCATCAGATGAGTGAGATACATGGGAATGCATTAGTTTGCATGTAGTAATTAAGGTGAATGTTTATGTTAGGCTCCAGTACACCTCCCCAGTAAACGGTTGGAATTTGCATGTAGTTTTGTACGATCAAGTAGCCAAGTCCTTCTGTCTAGGGGTCACTCCCTGTATGTAGGCTAGTACTGGGTGTCCCTGTTTTGCACCAGTGGTAGGCTAATTGTATTATGGTGGTAGCTAGAAAATATATGGAAAAAGGTAAAATTGTGTTTAGGGAAGGGAAGAACAATGTTTTACTAGTCGGTGGTATTTCATACTAACTGTTGTAGGGCGACAATCCTAAGGTTACAGAAGATTCAAAATGGAGGTAGGCCACCTTTCTGCAAGTTGATACAATCAATTTGTTTAACGTCAGTTATTGCTCATGGTTTATTCGAAGAGTCTTAAAACCTTGGTAAATTCTCTTGTTATTTATTAACTGTCATGTTTTAATGTATTATCTTATTAGAATTTGCAAGTACTGTTAGTTTCCTAACTTGCTGCCTCTTTAAAGCATTCACTATGTGAAAGCTTATATGCAATAGTAATTTTAGAAAAAAATTAAAACTGAAGACAACAAGGTGGTTCTCAAATTTGTTGTTGTTGTTCCTGTAGCAACTGTTTAACAAACTACCTCCACTTTTGTTGTTTAGTGTATGCTTGAAACATGGTGCCACTCCATGAACAAATTAATCTGAAGATAAGTAGAAGTTCATCTCAAGCAAAGTAAAACCTAGTCTTTCAATAGGTAAACACATTGCTTCGTACGTAACCAACTTGATTGGAAAGGGATTTGAAGACAGCGCTACTTAGGAAGAAAGAAACTGAGAATGTTTTTAAACTGGTTGTGCTTCTGTCATCTGATACAGCAGTGTAAAGAATAGGGCATTTTGTCCTAAAGGACAATAGGAAAAGGGGCCAATTTAAGCACCTCAGATAAATAGTTTTGGATTTTCACTCTTTCAAAAACAAAACAAGAAAAAATGCAAACAAAAAAATTAAACACACACACACACAGAAAGCCCCAAGCATTCATCTTCTAGATTTTCCATCCTAGTTTAAATAGCAAACGCTTTACAAAAAAATACTGGTTAGCCTTGTTTTAAGAATTATCGTGATGAAAAAGTTTGTATTTAGTTAGGTGCGAGTTCAGCAGTCAGTATTCTTGAAAATACTGCTAGTGAATTTGTGGTAAAGATGTAACGTGTTGTTTCTTTCTGTCATGCTTGTTTTGTGTTGCTGTAGTGCAATGGTGATCAATCTCTGGACCGATGTTTCTTGTGCCAGTCAATATATAGTCTTTCTCTAGGGAAGAAAAAAACCCCAGCCCAAGACAGCTTGTGGGCAGTTTCTTCTTGTCACACTGTGCTTAGATAGCTGCGTACTAATAGAAATTTCTGTTTACTGCAATATAAAAGCAATAATGTAAACTGTGATGTCTGTGTAATGGAAAGAGATGTTTACAGTGGTAGCAAATAAAGAACGAGTTATTCCAAAATATTGTCAACGTCAGTGTGTTACGGCCTGCTAGGAAGCGTAACCATTTCCAGTTAGCCATGCTCTCAGTTCATGCACCTGCACTGTGATATGAGAGAAAGCTTTATCCTATCTTCTTTTATTTGTTTTGGTTTTTTCTTCAGCTCCGAGAACTTGTTTAGAGGTCTCTGTGGTTCTTGTACCGGGCTTGCGATTGTGCCTTTCCTAATAGCGCTGCGGCACAAACTGTTGAAATGGTAGGCAGCAGAACATCTGTGTGTGTGGAAGCTGAACTGGAAAAAACAACAGCAGCTGGAACAAACACTAGCTGGCTCACGTACGTTCTCTAGTTTTTAAATCAGCATCCAAGATAGGTACCTTAAACACCAGGAGAAAGGAATACGATTTAAATCTGACTGAGATCCACGCAAAAAGTGTTTGTTTTTAACTCTCAAGATCAGTCTGATACCATAGAAAAACATGCTTACGTGCAAGTCCACTTGAAATCTTACATCTATTGTAATAGGAAATTGTGCAATGGGAAGGTCCGAGTTCGACAGACATTATGAATTTGTGCGTATTACGGCCTTTAACACTCCCTCGCTGCCCCGACCTTCGTCAACCTGTTACTCCTAACCGAAGGTCATATTGCACAGACCAACGGCATTAGCGCGAGGTGAGAGGAAAGGCTTCCCGCTTTGCTCGCTGACCGGCTTCTCCAGCTATCCTCTCGCTTTGTTCTACACCTGACCTGAAAGGCGGCAGCATCCCTGGTGTAGACACCTGACCTGAAAGGCGGCAGCATCCCTTTTCTCAAATGCTTTTAGTCCATACCACAGAAAGCAGACCTCGCTTCCCTGCTATATAGCATACACGAAAAGCATATTGGGTTGGAAGGAGGCAGAGAGTAGTTTTGCTGAGTGAGCACTACATTGCTCTCTTTAGTGATGGACCAGAATTTTGATTATGGAATGTAAGAGAGTGTTACCCAGGTAGGCTGCCAGACTCTGCTGCAAGGGGTAGAGACTTATTACTGCTTTATTTCAGTTGCTCTTGAAATCCTCACTTTAAAAGCAGCTCTGTTTTAAGCTTTAAAAACCAACAAAACCCAAAACAAGCCAAAGCCAACCAAAACCCCAAAAAACCACAACAAGGATTTTGTTTGAAGGACCTGGAAGTTAACTCTTGGAGTTAACTCGAAGTGCAAGCGTTTTTGTTCAGAAGAGCAAAACTCCAGGAACAAAAGGGAGAGTTGGAGAACTTTTCTGGAGAAAGAAAGAGAAACCCTGGTTTGTTTTCATGTCGTCTTTTTTTTTTTTTTACCCAAGAAAATATTTTTACCTCTGTATCTTCCACCATGCCTTCATCTCTGTACAAGCGATGTTAAATAATTTACTCATTTTTTCAGCACCATTGGTACTTCTCAGGTAGCCTTTGTTTCTACTCCTGAATTTTGGAGACCAAACGCTTCCATTAATGTACCAAAGTGCTACTGCACGAGAACTACAAGATCTCACCTGTAGCAATTTTATTACTTCAGAAGCATAGAGCAGGCCCTGCACTACAGAAACATCCCACTCCTCCAAACCCCAGATGTCAAGTTGGTCAGTTATGCAAATACCAGTTATTTTAGAAAAAGGGATGAGGAAGCAGCTATTCAGGAAATTTAAATGGAGATATTGAGTACCGCAGAAAAGAGAAGAACCAGAGTTAAATTCTCTTCTGGTGTGACATGCTTTGAGACGTTATCTGCCACCACTTCTTGAGAGCATCTTGCGCTGCAGTTAAGACTAACTTCCTGTATTTCATCCCTTGTACTCCCAGCACTGAAACACTCTTACACAACGACGCTGCTGATACCAGCATGGATCACACATTTCTATTATTAGCCATATTCCAATGTAATCTTCGCTGCCACAGTTTTGTTCTAATTATTTGCTGTCAGGTTAATTTATATTTTCACTATTGAATAAATCAACATTTTAAATGAGCATTAAAAGTCACCATTGCTGCTTGAAGTACGTAACATTTGACTCAAGACTATCTTCTAGTGGAAAGAAATAGCATGAAAGGAATGTTTTCTTCCAACCAGGGGATAAGGCTCAGCAACAGACGTGACTGCTTCACTTTCATTCTTGCTATGATGTTACCCCTCGGCCTGTATCTGAACTGGTGAGCTCTAGGCACGGACCGGCCGTCTCCCACAGCATCAGGTGTTGATGCCAGAGTCCGAAGCAAGGCCCTGGGCGCTGGAACCTTCTGCTCTAGCTAAGCAAAAGGCCAGGATACTAAGGCACGCTCCGCCATAGGCTGAGCTAACCTATCAACCCGTACGCTATTCCTTAGTATTTTCTCATTTTTTCCAGATGTTTTAGTCTAAGCCCGACTGGTCCATTTGTCTTACAAAAATGGATACAACCACATCAAGTGGTTTTTACAGTTAATATTTAATTTCTGAAGAAAAGCATCTTCTAGCTACGGCATACCTCATTATTACTGAATTACCAAGAACTGAAACAGACGAGAGATTACGGTTAAGTAACTCAAAGGGATGCCAGAATTTTGGAGAGTAACAGCACTGGAACTCATCAACGTGCGTACAACCCAAATTGGTGGAGACTGGGTAAGCTGTGCTCCCTACCTGTAACGCACTGGTACAGCCACAGGTGCCTCCTCTGACCTATTGCTCTTCCATTTAGGCAGGCTGCAGGCTTACAGGGCTTACGCACCAGCTTCCTTTTGTTGCTCTAAGTAACCTGATGGAAGTCAAACTCTTCCCAACAGTTTCTTGTTGGTTTCTGTATCGCACCTACTGTCGAGAGACCCAGTTACCGCAGTTTCAAAATGCTGCTGCAAGATTAAAGATTAGTAATGAAGACCCTGCGACAGGAGGGATCCAGAAGCTCGGACAGTAAGCAGCTGAGGAACCAGACCCGGCTGCACAGCTTTCCACGCAAAAGCACCATCTCTTTGCTTGACCAACTGCTTTAAGGCTATTCCCTTTCTCTCCCACAGCCCCCTTACCTACCACACCATATATATACCATACCAGCCTCTGCCACCTTAATATATGACACAACACCTGACATATGACATCTACTATAACAGAAGCTCCAGCGTCACTGTGTGAGAATCCCGAAGGTGCTTTTCTCTTTATAACAGTTTTGATGTCAAATTTTCAGTAGGTTTAATACAACACATGACAAGCTTTCTCTCTGCTCGCCCAAAACTCGTGTAACACAAACCTTTACAAGTCTCAAACACAACCCTCAGCTCTAACACCTAGAATGCAGGAGCTGTGCTACAGTGAAGGAAGTAAGTACCATTGAACTTTCATACGCTATCAACATCTAAATAAATTGGAAGACAGATTGGAAGAAAACTTAATAATGTTTCTTTGTGGCTTTTTTTTAATAGAGAAAGCTCTATAAAATAACCTCCCGCTCCTCCATCATCTGCTGTCTCCTGGCAGGCAGGCAGCACCCTGCTGCCACCAGGCTCCTACCAAACCAGAAAAGCAGCAGCGCACGTCAGCGTCGGGTCACAGATCTCAGCTCTGAAGAGGAAAAAGGTCTTCCTTTTTTTTTTCCCCTCCCAGCTGTGAGACTAACAGCCCTAACTAAACTCTACAATTCGCATATTAAAGAGAGTCTGTCTCAAAGCATACAAAGCACAAGACATAGGCACTTCTAAAGCCATACCAACTTGCTTGTGTGGCATGCCTACACATACAGGTAAGACTTTAAAAAATACTCACATTTTCTCGAAGGTTTCACATCACTGTATGCTGGTCAGTTGAACTCTTCTGTAGCTTTCCTCTCATCAGCCCCCACCCAGCTACTGAAAAACAGGTCACGGCAGATCTTGTCATCAAATAGGCAACTGCCAGGTGGCCATTTTGTGTGGCCCTAATCAGGTGAGCAGCCCCACCCAAAAAAATCTGGAGAAAATCAGCTCTCCTGGCTGCTACCTATAGCAAAGCCATTCTTAAAGATGACTCGGCTTACGCTTAGGAGCTTTCTTGACATGATCAGGAAGGTAAGGAAGGCCAATGGAGCAAACCAAAAAGAAGTTGCCTTGTAAAATGGCTCCTGTTACACCAGAGATCCACTTGTGGATGCCTCTTCTTGTTACGGGAGTTGTAACAGCAAAATAATTTTCATGATAGGCTGTACCCCCAGCCCTGTGGGTGGGGTGTGGAGCAAAGCTGGCAAGCCCTTTTAAGATAAAGAAACGTTTTTCATCTGTGGTCTGTGCATCTCTAGGGGTGTGTGGAAGATTGTTGATAGGCTTAAATTCACTTTTACCATGACAGACACCTAAAAGAGAAATATTTTAGGGATCTGCAAACTTAAAAAGGTCAACAGTCCACTTCAGGATGTTAACCCTTAGTGCTGAAGACGTCTGTGGTAATGTAGTCAGCTGCCAGGCATTACAATAAAGCACCCTGCTCTGGCCTTGGCATCTTAAGTTAGAACAAAGTCATATTCTTCAAAATGGTGATTATGGCTTCAAATGAATATCATTATTTGATACCCATGTAAACCAATCCGCATAGTCTCATGTGCAGAAAGACTATATTGCTTTTTTCATGCTGTTATATGTAGTCTACATATGGCTAAATTATAACGGAGACAACTCTACTCCCAACAAAAGAAAAAAAAAATCAACAGTAAACTGACTGAGACAAGGGATGTAGGAGCAGTGCTCAGAAATTAACAGCCATGTTTTGCAAATTAACTTTATATATACACAAATAGATGGTAAGTTTCAAAAGTGTAATTCACTGAGTAGAGCACATCCATGTCTGTTCTGTCACTGCCATGGTTTTGAGGCTTACATCTCAGCTTACCAGTACCCTGTAAAAACATTCTAATATTTAAAGCCTTAAAAGCCTGCCTAGTGAGCTATAGCAGAGCATAGATGGGTCATAAAATATCTGGGGGGTCTTAAAAAGTAGTAACAACTGTTGTCACCAAATGTGAGCATAGCAGGGGAAAACTGTTTAATGAAATT